CTACCAATACCAACATGTTCACAATGGTCAGTTACAAAGGAAGAACTGTACTGATTCCCTCAAGGGAAAGATAATCCATAAGTGAGAGAGAACAAACATGTCCCTAATCTTCTGTATCCAAGGTTAAACATCAGTCTTTCCCATGATGTTAATTTCTTTCCATCTCAAGTCAATAAGATGACACATACCAAGAAATCCTAGGTGCTAACCTTGGCTTGCAGGATGGGGGATTCACAATTTTATAGGAATCAAGAGATTAGTCATGAAGCCCATCTTGAACCCTGGCAACCACCTTCCCTTTTACCTAATCCTGAAAAATATCCTATTCCATTTAAGTCTCTGAGATCCTTCCGGTATATTTTGAGCTTTTTCAGCTTATCTTTTTGGGGAGGATAGGACAGGAGAGCAGAAGAAGAAGCTGATGTTTTTTTATTTCTGCCTGTTGACTCTGACTGTGGTAGCATGAAGAAATTTAAATGTAAGTTTTAAAATCTTGTGATATTGGCCTATGATGAAAATGATCCAATTAGAAATATATCTTATAAACAGAAACTGTAAGAGGCTCATGAATCAATCCCTCTTTGAGGAGGAGTGGAAGTAAAGGCTAGGAGAGTGAACTCAGGATTGCTTTTCTGTAGTTACTAAAACATGGAAATCCAGTTGAGTGACACTCCAGATGACCTGCTCCATCATAGTAGTACAGTTCCCCAGGTGTATGTCATTCCATATCCATAAAGTTCTCCCAGAAGCATCAATAAACACAGAATTAAGAAGCTTGGCTAAAGGCCAAAAATTACTTCCCGAAGGGATTCCTTGGCTACCCTTCTTCTACAAACTCACCCCATCTTAGATAATGTGAGTTTATTTTTAAAAATCAATAGATTATTTCTTTTTTCTTTTATGATGGTCTTCCCTTGATATCTATCTAACGCTCCATGACAAAGGCACAATCACGGGACGCTTGGTCATCTAACTTTAAAACATTTTGGTTAATTTTAATGTCATTCTAATTATTTTTTTCACTAGAAATGCTTTCGGTTTGGAGAAAGAAAAATCACTTGCCACTTACAAAAATAATTCTACTGCTTCATTTAGTCATTCACAGTTACAAGAGACTGATACTGGATTGTAGTATCCAGCCCAGGGCTCAAGGCAAAACAGAATGCTTTCATTATGTAAGAACAGAATATGCCTGGCTTTGCCACCCATCACTTACCAGTATTTCTTTAGCCCAAGGGATTTTTAAACCCTTGAAAATTCCAAATTTTCTGTTCAAAACAGGTCCCTCTGTCTTGAAGCTTTCTCCCTATGACTCCATTCTTCTATTTCTACCTATGTGGAAACAGCATCAGATCCCACTGGTTGAAGGGCTGAGTCCCACAAAAACCACCCCACTTCAGATACCAGGAGCAAGCACAGATTGTGGCCAATGTGAGGTATGTGACCTTTGGCCAACAATCCAGATTCCCAAGACCCTCTCCTTGGGTTGGACTAATTTGCTAGAGAATGGGACCCAAAGAAACACTTTACTTACCACTTACCAGTTTATTATAAAGGATATTACAGAGGCCAGGATTTTTAAATCTTGTTCCCACAGGGCCTAAACAGGATTTCATACAACAACAGGAACCTCTTCCAAGGGTGAGGCCCCTTGTTGGATACTGGAGATCAAGTCAAACCTCAGCCCCTTTCCTCCCCCAGGAGCCTGGAGGATAGGGCTGAAAGTCCCAACCCTCTATAATATATACTTTTTTCAAATGCATATTACTTTTTTGCATGATATGTACTCTCAAATATAATACACACATCACTTATATAAATTACCCTATATTGCCACTGCTGTCTTCCCAAAGGTACCAGCCTGAGTAAATTCTAGAATTTATCAAACAATGACCAGTTTTTATTGGGTGAGTGAATGCTTTTCTAGATATCTAAGCTTTTGTTCAAATCTCAGATCCTAGCTAAATCACCTTCAAATTGAATGATTAAAAATAATAAACATTTAGCCCCAAATAATCATAAGTTATTTAAAATATGTAGTCCTTAGATTATATTATCTGTTTGATGACCCTTCAAAGGCAGGTAAAAACTCTTGACCAGCATATATGGGAAGTCCCAGCTTTAATTCACAGCCCAAATATGATATCTCCTCTCATCGTTTGAAATTTAAATTCATTTCATAGACTGACTGGAAAAGTTTGTTTTTCTAATTAAAGAGGTCCATTCCTGACTTCTTGCATGTGAGGTAATATCATTACAACTGAATCTTTGATGAACAGGAAGCCATTCACATATAAAAAGATCTTGTTTCTCACACTCCCCGAAACTCTTTTCTCATGTCTCATTTCTTGCTGTCAGAAAGGAATCCAAGTAATGGTAAAATATAAAAGTGAACAGGCAATCTCATGCATTCTTAACACAGAATCAGAAGAAAACTCAGACTTGTCTTAAGTATTATTATAATTAAAATATCTATATTCATACATTTATATCTATCAATGAAAAAAGACAATATCATTTTTCTGTCATTATAATAAAATAACAAAATACCCATAGCTTGGTACTTTAGAAAAAAAAAAGAGGGTTATTTACTTCACAGTTTAGAAGAATGAGTCCATGACTGGGCAACCCCATCTCTTTAGTCCCTGGTGAGGAAACCATTGGCTACATCCCAATATGGTGGAAAAACCAAAAAGGAAATAGGTATGTACAGAAGAGATACATGGTAAGACAGGAAATCAGAGGGAATCAGGAGCCAGGCTCACTCTCTTTATAATTTGTTTCCATGGGGTCTAATATTAATGTAATGATTTCATAAGAATTACATTAATCTCCTCCAAGGGTGACGTCCCCAATGATATCACTCCCTACTAGGCCCCACCTCTTAAAGGTTCTACTACCTCTCAATACCCTACACAAGGAACCAAGCTTCCAACACATGAATATTCAAACTATACCTAATCTATAGCAAAGATAGTATGTATTTTGGAGCCTGAAGACATATTTGAGGGAGTAAAAAAAATAAGATATTCAAATTTCATTTACGTATAGAAATATTTTAGTGAAAGCCTCACCACCATGGGAAATTTGTTATTTAGGTTTAACATTTGCTGAGAAGTAATTCATCTATAAAATTATTAATGTAGAATTATTTCCTAGTTTCTTGTTTGGGATAAATGCTCAATACTTGAATTTAAAATCATTTTATTGATACATTTAAGCTGATAATTGTGAATACTGAGCTTTCAATACATTTCAAATGAGCTGGGAGAATTCTGAAATATCTAATGCATTTATAGTGAACTGGTAAAAAATGAAATAGAAAAAGTACTTGAGTTATTTTATACTATCAGTGAAGTATCTATAAAAATACAATTCTAGTTATAAAAAATTTCACTAAACATACTTAAGAACTTTTTTCCCAACTTTGGTGGTATAATTAAATTTTAGAAATGTATCATCAACTTCTAAAATTTCACATGAACTCACCTGAGGCTCTAGATTATTTTACTAACTGATGCCAAATTCTAAAACTGAATTATAGGCCAGTCATTTTAAAAAATGCAAAAGGCAGAATGACAAAATCATCCAATATTTTCTTCACAATCTGAAAGCAGAACATGCAGCAAAATGCCTTCCTAAGAGTTAAACTTGGCTCTCAACAGTAGCCTGTCAGAGCAACAGGTGGCTGGAAAGTAGAACACATGACCTCAGGGTCAATTCTGAAATCTTAACCACAATTTTATTAGTATAAGCAATATATGAACAACTGGGCCCAGAATCAATGTGTCAGTGTTAATGATTACTGAAATGTTATTTAAATAACAAAACCCTTATTTCAGATTAGGAAGGGGCAAGCACCTCAATCTTTATGTTCATATTTTGGCAGAATGATACAATCCAAGAAATGTTTTCATCACAAAGCTGTGAGTTATGTAAATGTAAACAACACACAAGCCTCCCACTGGGAGGTCACCATTTAACAAGGAGTCCTAGAAAATAAGTCAGTAGTGAGCACTGAGGTTGACAGAGTGGACATCACAAGCCAGTGATGAGGGGTGTTGGAGGAAGATGAAGGGTACCTAGGAGGGAATGGAGGAGGGGAATATAGAAAATACTTGGGAAGGCTCCAGGGGCACGTGAGAGTTAGGATGTCTTGAAGGATGAGTGGATTTTCAATTGGAATTCCTTCATTTATGGGAAGGAGGTTGTTGACAAATGAGGTAGGGCTGGGGTGTGACTCAGTGGGGAGTACTTGCTGAATACCTGGAAGCCCTGGACCACGTTTTGATCCCTTGCACTGCAGGAAAAAAAGAGAAAAGAAAAAGGAAGAGAGCGCTAAGGTCACTATAATCAAAGCTGTGCAAGGGGATACTCTCTGAACATGGTCGAGGACACAGTCGGTATGTCCAGGTCAACAGTGAGAGAGAAGACCAGAATAGAAGGGCGCTGAATGCCGAGTCTTATTTGATAGTAATTAAGGTTGTCTTGTACAGAGTAATGATAAAATTAAAGTTATGTTTCTTTTATAATCTCACTAACCAAAATATAGAAATTAAAATTGGTAAAGGGGATGAACTTCAGGAACGATCATTATAATAGTTACTTTTATTTTATTCTTTAATTTTTAAATAATATTACTAAGAACTTTACATAAATTAATTTATTCCTTAAGGTGACTTGGTTAATTGGAAATTATTATCCATATTTTATAGATGACAAAATTGGCTCAGAGAGGTTCTGTAACTTGCAGGGACTTAGACCTTTTGCTGTGGGACTCCTGAGACCATTCTCTTAAAATGTATATTCTACTACTCTACCTTGTTATTGAGACATAAATCAGGGAACATATTTCAAATAAAACCTTGTTTCCTTTGAAAAGTACACATTCAGGTGGACAGCATCTCAGAAGGTTCTCCATGAGCCCATCTGGATTTCATGCCTTGTTAATCACTCTCTAGAGTGTGGGATGGCCTAACCAGTTCTTCTCTAACCAACAGAGTATAGCAGAAATGATGGTATATCACTTCCAAGACTGAATGGCCTCTCCTGGAACATACTCCTCATATTCTCCTGGGTGGGAGTCCCTGAAGGAGGACAGCTGCCATGCTGCCAGGCAGCCCCAAGGATAGTCCCACACGGGAAGGAATAGGAGCCTACCAACAACCAATGGTGAGTGCAAAAGCAGATCCCCCCACCCAATAGAGCCTGCGAGCCTTCTGATGAGACCACAGACTAGGACAACAGCTTGACCACAGCCTCAAGTGGAAGGTTGGGCCAGAGACTCTCAATTGAAGCTGTGTGTATCTTCCTGATCCCCGTTAAGTGTAGAGATAATAAATACTTACTGATTTTGAGCTCCTAAATTTTGGCTAATTTGTTACCCAGCACAAATAGAGCCAGTAGATAGCAATTATTTTAATTATTACAGAATAAACATTTTCCTTTATACTTGAAGCTAGGCATCTAAGAGATTATACCTAAAATAAACCACAAGCAACCACCCCAGGTAACAGAACACTGTGTCATCGACCTTTTTTCATCAGGCAATCTACCTGTCTTGTCCTCTTAGAATTCCTGTTACAGCCCTTGTTCTTCTTTTACTGAAGATATTTTGGGGACTAGGAATACTAAATCCCAAACCTTAAGGTTTGCAAAATCATTAAAAGACTCATCCTATGACACACTGCTTCCTTCCCAAAGCTAACACACTGTAGTGCATAATCCTTTTATTAAAGTACCTACACATTCTTTCTCATTCATAGTTTTATTGTCTTTTTTCCAGACAACCTCTCCCCTACTCCCTTACAAAAGTCATGTCTTATACAATCTTATATTCTTGGTACCTAGCACTTGCCATATAGTTGGGACTTTGAGCGAGTCAACAGATAAGAAACAGGAACGTGGGAAACAATGGTTGAATGCTCTGGGTTCTTGTGTTAGTCTGGGACTTCCTATTGGCCATTTCCTCCTATCTAGAATGCTCTTTTACTCACTTCCAAACTCAAGGCCATCTGTTTACAGGCTTCTCAAGACTCTCACCTGGAGTATGTCTGCTCACCTGCATGCATCATTGCCCCCACAGACAAACAGCCTGCCCTTTCCTTGCACTAAAGCCTTTTTTTTATGTTGCTACAGCCTCCCAGGATATACCTTGGTCAGAGCACCCAGCACACATACTGTCATAATTGGTTGTTTGTCATTTCCACTTTACCATAGCCCCTTGAAGAACAGCATCCCCATTTGTGCCTGCATGTTCAGCCATCAGGGCAGTGCCTGGCCATGGTGGACCCTCAAGAACAGTTTGAAAAGGTAAATGAGAGATTGAAGGAATGGGAAAAAGAAAACTGCATTCTAGAAAAGTATCTCAGCATAATGTACTCATTTCAGATAAGATGTCAATCAGGTACATAAATTGCTCTAATTCCTAAACAGTGTAAACTGTATGTAACTGCATATCAAGATTACCGTTGATATAGAGAATCGTAATTTGAAAAAGTGCTCCAATTTATGGATAGGCCCAGGTAGAGCAATTTTCTTTTTCTTTTTCTTTATTTTAATTAATTAATTAATTAATTAATTAATTAATTAATTTTATCAGGGATTGGACTCAGGGGCACTCGACCACTGAGCCACATCCCCAGCCCTATTTTGTATATTTAGAGACAGGGTCTCACTGAGTTGCTTAGCATCTCACTTTTGCTGAGGCTGGTTTTAAACTTGCTACCCTTCTGCCTCAGCCTTCTAAACGGCTGGGATTATAGGTGTGTGCCACTGCACCCAGCCAGAGCAATTTTCAACACACCTTTTCTCTTTGCCTTGCATCCCTAATCCTATTTCAGTAAAAAAATGTTTTCTTCCTTTTCAACCTAAGATTCCCTACACCATCCCCAGATACCAAACATGTCTCAGTCTTCCATAAATCACTCAACTATCTCTTCCCCACAAAATGTTTATGTATCCCATGCTCTCAGAGTCTTGAAATGCAACAGAACTAAAAAGATAAGCTATTTTAGTGGGAAATGGGGCTCATGGAATGGCTTCCCCACTTTGATAGTGATCTTTTTCTAAGGCCATGGCTTTACTCAAAGCCCTGTGGGAAAATGCCACTTAAAAACAAAGGACCTTTCCAAAGCCCTCCAGTCACTCTGTGTGGGTGAGTTCTCTCCTGGCACCAGAAAGGTGAGGATGCTGCAAGTTAGGACAGCTTTCTGAGTTAGGACCCTAGATCTTTCATTTTGTGATCTTTTGATATTGGGCAACCTCCCCAGTGCCTAAATGAGATAATAATAGGGCCTATCTCAAGGACTCAATGGGGAAATTCAGTGCATCAATATAGGTAAAGTGCTCAGAAAGGGCCTCGAAGCAATTAGCAGACAATGATTACCAGCTGCTGCTATAATCATCATCTTCATCATCATCATCATCATCATGATGTTACCGTTATGAGGGGAATTCCCAAAGGGCTGGAGGAGAGTGCACTTACTGATCTGGTTGTTCAGCTTGAAGGCGATGTCCAGTTGTAGTATAAACAGCATGAATTGGAACCAAGGACTCATCTCCATGGAGGGGAGGGGAATGTGGACAGAAAACACAATATCATTGGCTTCAATTTCCCTTGGAATTGCTTCTTCGATGTCTCGGATCTTATCACACTGATTGGGTCCCCAGGGCATTAGCCATTTTGTCTTGTGATGGTTCTTACGGACGTCCACACATTTCACTGACATGTAAGACACCGCTGTGGTGGGCCCTGGAGCTGAAAAGACAATGGTTTTCTGTTTTAGAAGACAAATATATTGAAGAGACCATTTCTAGTTAATGTTCTTTCCACTTCTGTCTTCTCTCCGGGTTTTGTACAGACTTCTACAACCTGAGATCAGTAATTCCTAGAAATCTCCCAAATCCAGGTGAGGTTCCTTCATTTACTTCCATAAGGGCATAAAAGCATCCCCAACAGCCCCCACTATGTTTTCAATCACTGGCATTTAAAGAATACATTTGTAAGCAATCTAATACAGTCACCTCCTCACTCCAAACCAATGTCACCAATAACCAAGGTAGCATATGATAAATAACGCCAGGTGTGTTACCAATCTGGTGTCAATTCCATGCTGTACCATTTCTAGCTATGCCACCACTATTCACATAGGGATTACTAACCTGTTTGTATAATTGTCCTGTCTATTTTTAAAGGGGAAAACACACAAAGAGCATAAAATTGATATTAGCTATTATAATTTTTTTAAAAAAAGTTTTTGTAGTTGTAGATGGACAGAATGCTTTTATTTTATTTGTATATGGTGTGGCAAGCACTCGGCCCCAGCCCCATTGTAAACATTTTTTCATATAATTAAAAAATTTTAATTACTGGTTGTAAAATAGTCAACCACTATTTTATACTAACTATTCCTTTATCCATTTGTAAAAGCTATCTATAAATAAGAATAATTATAATTTCTTGTTAATAATTTCTTCTAACTTTTCTATCTGCTATCTAAATTTGTTCATGGCATACTTCAATACATAAAAGTTCCACATTTTACAAAGAATCCCTCTTTTCCTTTATAATTTTGTTCATGTTTTTGTATTCAGAGATTAACTTCTTTATCTCTAAATGCAATAAATAGCCACCTGTATTGACTTCTAGTTGCTTTTTACAATTTAGTTATTTTTAAATATTTAAGCAGTTAGACTATATGGAATTTGCTTTTACATAAGGCATGGTGTGAGGTCTGTTTTTTTCCATGTATTAGACTACCAATTTGTGGGCTAGCTCAATATCATTTTGAATCTTATAGGATTGATGGTTATGATTAGAATCAATATTTGCTAGAGTAACTAGTCTCCCCAACTCATTTCAAATTTATATATTTTTGTATTCAATTTATAAATTGATGTGGGCAGAATCAGTATCCTCTCCCATTATTATTATTTTTTTAATTTTTAGTGGTCAATGAATCTTTATTTTTATTTATTTATAGGAGGTGCTGAGAATCTAACCCTCACACATGCTAAGCAAGCACTCTACCACTGCGCTATGACCCCAACCCCCAACCAACATTTGGTTTTCCCATCCAAACAATACTTGCTTCTCCATTATCTGGAATCCGGTTTTGGATTTTCTTGAAAATATGTCATAGTTTTCTTCATGTGGGTCCTGAGAGTATAGCATAATTTAAAAATATATCCATAAATTTTCCCTGAAATGTGATAGTGGAAGAAAAACATAAAAAACCTTGGCTTATGTATGTAGTTTAAATGTACTTAATTCTGTGCCTCTGATATTTGTCACACTTATGTTTGCAGATCTTTTCTCAGCAGAAATCATCTCTTATTTAATAGAATAAGAGACAATAACTAGAGGACTATATAAAACAAAAGGACAATCTTATTAAGAGGCAAAAATGTGTCTTATCAATATTCTGCTCTACTTCTAATGCTCAAATCCATATATTTCTATCCTAAAATATCTATCCCGAAGTTAAATTCTGAGTAGTAAAATGTTATGTGTGCAGAAAGTTGGGCTAAAGATAATTGAAACTTAATAGGACAATTCATCACTTCCAAAATACAGCTGAAAATCTATTAATGCAGCAGGTTGAACATGCAACAGGGAGTCCACACTAACTCATACTGGGGAAGTTTTTCTTCAGAACTCAAAACTGTACCACGAGGATGTTTTTACATCTAACCATCTTAAATCCATCATCTTCTCATCAGTAAAAACATGAGTCAATCAAACTTTGGTTATCCTGACTCAGCTAAATAACCCCTGACATTAGAAAGACCAAATGGCACATTTTACTGGACCCTTTTTAATGTGGTTGGAAAAATAAACAGTGAGACAAAAGTCATGAATTCATGAATTCTATTTTTGGTGAACATACTCAAACTGACTATGTCTTGCAGAAAATAGTTACTACATTTTAATTTCTATTCTACCAAAATGAACATTTTTTCATTTCCTTCTCCCCCCACTTTGAAAAACAAGTCTCTCACTCCTCAGACCAAAATGAAAAATAACTACCCGGGTTCCTCAGCTAAGCTCCAAAACCACATTCCAAACTGAACAACAGAGAAGCTGAACACTTGACCCGCACAGAGGCTGCATTTTTAATGGCCTCAGTGAACGCTGCCTGTGTGGCAGCCTGCATTATTTTCATTCTTTCACTAGTCTGGTGTTTTTGCCATAAAGAAAAAAAATCCCAGGAACACTAATATTTTCATAGAGATCATGGCAATGAACTTGGAGAAGCCTCAAGTGCATCATAAGCCAGACTGAGAGAATGACAAATATTTTTCTTCACTTGAATAAATTAGTCCTCCAGTCCAGTTTTTCTCCTAGTTTTTTAAAAAAAAGTCTTTACTTTTTGCATGACTTAAAAATCTGAAGA